CCAACTCCGGAACAGCTCAAAGCTGTGGTGATGCGGGAGGTTCCTCTTGAAGACCTTGCCCAAAGATGCCAGTGCACAAGAAAAGGCAGCGCGTGAGGAAATCAAGCTGCATTCTTCCCTTTACACGGAGAAGCTTTTGCATGTGTTGCTGGTGCATCCAGCTGGTTTAGGGAGTCAATCCGCCACAACCAGTTGATTAGCGTGGCCAAGTGGAAGGGAAAGCTGTGTTCCTCCCGGATCTGAGGCAATGACCCTCCTCATCTACGAGAACTCCTACACCAGATGGAACCTCTGCTTCCAGCCTGGGAACAATGACTGTGGCAGAAAGAAATGGACGCCCCCAAGAGCAGCAAGGACTCGGAGACAAAAAAGTTTGCTACCAAGTACTAAACTCCAAGGTGGGCAATGCCAAGTATGGAGGTTGGTCCAATGCAGGCCGAAGGCGCTACAATGCCCATCAAGCTTGAGGTTCAGGATAGCCCGTGCCAAGCCCAATGCCCAAATGCAGAACAACAAATGCTGAAATGGATGTTGCAATATTGGGAAAGGAAGACCACGAGCCCGATCCGGATGCCGTGAACAAGAAGGAAGAAGAAGGGCAAGCGTTCCTACGATGATCTGGTGGACTGTGACTAGGGTCCTTCCAGGTTGTCAATTGGCAGCCAAGGCCCCATTGAATGGGAAGCCTTGGCCGCCTTTTGATTCCCCTGGGTGCTTTTTGGCAGGGCTTTTGTGAGAAATTTGTTGCCCAGTTCTCTCCTGTTCGGAGGCTTCCGGTGCTTTTTGGTACCCATTGCCTCCCTTTCCTTTTGCTGATCTTGTTAATTGGTCGGTGGTGGTTGCCCATCTGGTAGCCTTTTTCACCCTTTTCACCCTTTCACCATGAGGATCTTTTACGGTGATCCTCTTTTTTGGTGACTCAGTACTGCTCTATTTTGGATTAGCGTTAACAATCTAGCATTTTATATTCCCACTCTTATCCTAGTCTTATCTCGTTTTAGCTGGTTTTAGTTGAAACTTGCCACCTGCAGGTCCCATTTTGGTAGGTAACGCCTCCGCGATTAATAGCCCCTCTGTGCAGATCTATTGTTGTTGGGAATCATTCTTCATGTTCTGACCATCCAAAAACGGATGGCGATGTGACTTCTTTTTAGTAGACAATGACTTAACGGTTGGATACACCAATGGGCACAAAGGGTAACATACCACGTACTGAAGTTGTTTCCCCTGCCAGTAGTAGATTGTAAAGTACCGTCACTTCCCAACCTGGAGCACCGGTTGCCTAATTGGAACCTTGGACTTGGTTCGGAAGGAGAGGTTGGGATGTGCTTCCCAAACGAGACCTGAGGTCTCGTTTTCAGAATTACCTACAATTGTGCTTCTTAGATGTGGCTGGATTCATAATGTTCGGTTGTGCATGTATTCGTCATAAGGATCCAATGCAAGATACCGGCAACGGAGTGTAGCCAGTAAAGCGGAACCTGAGTGTGTTCGGTACTGTTGCCACTATCGCCGATGTAACTGTACAGTAGCGGGCTACAATGGCTGGATTAACAATATTCGGTTTTGTGCATGTATTCGTCATAAGGATCCAATGCGAGGTAACCGAGTGCAGTGAGCAAAGCCGAACCTGAGTGTGTTCGGTACTGTTGCCACTGTCACCGATCGATGAACTCTACGGTAGCTACTATGATGGCTGGATTGACAATTTCGTTGTGCATGTATTCGTCATAAGGATCCAATCGAGGTAACGAGTGAGCAGAAAGCGAACCTAAGTGTGTTCGGTACTATTGCAACTATCTGATGTAACTGTACGGTAGCGGGCTACAATTGCTGGATTGACAATATTCGGTTGTGCATGTATTCGTCATAAGGATCCAATGCGAGGTAACCAAGTGCAGTGAGCAAAGTCGAATCTGAGTGTGTTCGGTACTGTTGCCACTGTCACTGATCGATGAACTCTACGGTAGCTGGCTACGATGGCTGGATTGACAATGTTCGGTTGTGCATGTATTCGTCATAAGGATCCAATGCAAGGTACCGGTAACGGAGTGTAGCCAGTAAAGCGGAACCTGAGTGTGTTCGGTACTGTTGCCACTGTCACGGATCGATGTAACTCTCTGCCTCGGTACCGTAGCTGGCTACAATGGCTGGATTGCATGTATTTGTCATATGCATCCAAGTAGGGAGCAAACTGAGGAAACAGGAGACGAACGCTGAAAGTTACCGGGAAATGGATAAATCGGCTACCAGATGCGGTACCAGTACATGTCTAATAGTCTAATTCAAATATCCAGAGTCAAAATTAGCATTAACCCCAACTTTACGGCATCTACCAATCTAAAACTGTACAGTCTATTCTCTCTTATGTTTATTGGGTGTGCATCCAGATAAGTATAAATATAAGAGAGAAATAAACATAACAATTTTGTCTAGCTATTTCCTAGTGAAGAGCTCGAGGAGCGTTGTGTCTCTCTTGGAACGGCTCAAATGCCTTTTTTAACACCCACTTCAGCTGTGGTGGCCCCTTTGCTTTCCTAGGACTGCCTACCATGGTGGATTGCCATGCCACTGCTGAGGAATCTTGAAAACTGCATGAAATACCCTTATGTTGCACCTTTTAGCTTGAGTCATTAGTAACTGGTGACTCAAGGGGGGGCACTCTATGAAAGCATAAATACAAGAGAGAAATAAATATAAGAATAATAAATATAAGAGAGAGTAGACTGTACACCACACGTCTTTAAAAAAAACGAACCATCGCATCAGATATCTTAGCTTTAGTACAGCTCCGGTGGTGGTGGTACGGGAACGCTGAAACTTACCATGTGCCTTGTTCTCGTCATCAAAGCAATTATTCTTCTGCAGGCTCGAGCCATGCTCGTTCCTCGCTGGCACACTGCTGAGCATGAAGCAGACATCCTACCACTGGCCAATAGGGCTAAGCAGCTGCAGCTATCTACATAATATTATCTAGAGTGCCAATATCATCTTGCCGCCTCAAAAGGTGATAATGTGTTTGAGTTGGCTTTGCTGAAGCTGGCAAGAGAAGGTGGATTCAGCTGTGGCGTCAATACGCGGTACCGGTTCGTGTACCGGTACTGCACGGTACCATACTGTGACTGATGCTTTACTCCGTAGCTAAATATTGCCTGTAGCAAAATTTTTCATTCAGTATAGTAAGAAGAAGACCTGTCCCGCAGGGGCAGGATAGTTAGAAGAAGAGAAGAAGAGGAGGAGGTTCTTAGCTATGCAATGTCCTTCTGGCTTTTTGGCAAAGTATTTCATGAGCTCTGCTTTCCTCTTGGGTAGGCTGCTCTGAAGGGCGCCTCCTATGAGTCTCAGCCAGCCATCAGCATCTCCAAACCTCCATTATTCAACCATACATTTCGCTTTCTACTGGCCATGGCTATGGTACTTCTGATGTGCGGATTCAATTCAAGCCACCCATCCGTTCTGCCTGCACTTCACAGCCCTTTTGTTTCATGAAAGAGGAGCCTGTCGCTCATCCTGTCATTGTGGAGCCGGAAGTAGCATCATCTTGATAGATGTATGCATGGAGTAAAGGTATCGATGGACGAATAATGATACGAGTGGCTTCCATCCAGCCTATGCATTGACCATGTGTGTTGTCGTGTTGTCGACCAGTTCATGTGGTATGATGTATTGCACAATGAGGGAGATGCTGGTTGCTGGTTGAGACGAAGCTTCAATCATTTGCCCTTCTCCCCACGTTTTCCAAAAAAGATAAACCTCACAAACTCGCAAACTCGCCATTCTCGTCAAACATGGCTGAATAAGGAACGAATGTAGAGGTCTTATCTTGCCCTGAACGGGACGCTCCTCTGGCCTCTTTTCTCTTATTCGTTAGTGGCTTCTTCGTTGGTGGCATCTGGCATCGTACAGCATGTTGCATCACAGCTCTAGCAGTATCGAGGTTTCTCTTTGTCTCCTGGATAAGCAAGGTTTGGAATGTATGTCTTTGCTGGTTGTTGTTGTTGATGTTGTGGCTGCTGTTCTGGCTACGGTACATCGTTCTGTTCTGATGCCGAAATGCGTCGGGAAACAATACAGTCGTAAGCCTTAGCCCTAGTATGTGAAAGATCACTCCAGGGGCTTACACGTGAAGGAGATCTATCAGTTATGAAACGTCCGAGGCACGCATGTTCTGTGCATGCTTCCTACTGGTAAAACGTTTCACCCACCCGTTGCATGCGTAGAAGTTGTACCACGGGTGCTATACGAACTGTCTGAAACCAGCTGAAACCATGTTTGACAATGATTCAACGAGTCAAAAAGACAGAAGATTCCCCCCCAAGACTCCAAAAAGAACTCAGCTTTTTTATGACTTTTTCTGTGTCCTTGTCCTCTAAAACCAATTTTTGTAGAGAGACATTTCCCATTCCAAGAAGAACGCAGTATGAGATAGAGAGCAATTATTATATCAATACCCTTAAATCCGAGCGGCCAGGGGCAGTTGTTGATGGAAAACCAAAGCCAGCTCACCCCGACGTAACTGACCTCCAAAGAGTCAAAAAGCAGTCGCACTCGGCAAACGTAACCCCAACAAACGGAGCTAGGCGCTGCCTCTGATTGTTTGTTTTGTTGTTGTTTTGTTCATCTTAATTTCAACCGAAACACTGTCTGCTGGGCAGGGCTACCTATTATTGACTCGACTCTCAGAGAAGCTCTCCGCAGCCGGATTTTCAGGCACAGTCTTTTTCGCAACGCGTCCTTGAGAGCTTCATTGCTCTCTTTCCCTCCATACTGGACTCACAACTCACAAAACTGCCTCCATCACAATGGTCTCCTCCATGCAAAGGAAAGTGTTGGCCATCTTGCCCAAGTGTACAGGTGGCCTGTCCCTGGTGGGATCAAGCTGCATCGTCTATGATCTTGTCCAGCAAATTCGCTCCAAGCCAAGTGGTTCGGCCAATTCCTTCCAACGCATCATGCTCGGTTTGAGTTGTTTTGACATGATTTGCAGCTTTTGCAACGTCTTATCCACTTGGCCAAGTCCTGAAGATTCGGGCACCTTCATGGCGGTTGGTAACACACAAACCTGTACGGCACAAGGATTCTTCAATGAACTAGGAAACCTGGGGGCCGTCACATACTCGGCCAGCTTGAGTTTGCAGTACGTTTGGCAAATGACATCTCCGGGACTTCGAAACAGGCTGCCTCCGCAGCATGAGGTCTGGCTTCATATAGTTCCAATCACATTGGCTGTGATCATGGCTGTGCTTGGGTTGCCCCTCACTCTGTACAATAACTCGGGATGGATCTGTTGGTATGCCCCTTATCCAAAGGGTTGTCAAGGAGATGAGTGCACTCGTGGTCAGCTGGCTGGCCTTTTTCGTTGGATTCACTATGCTATTGTATGGGGTGCCATCTTCACAGTGACAGTCAGCATGTATTTGATCTTTCGAGTGGTGCGGTCCACCGAAAAGCGAGCCAACATGATACGATCCGCCACTTCGACAGTACGATCCAGTGGGCACTCGGGCGATTTCATGGACGAAGCGAAAACCAGCGTCTCAGTCCACAACAGCAATAGCACTAGCAGCAGCAGTCCCCGGACCAAGCGCGTGGCAACACAAGCATTCCTTTACATTGGTGGACTCTACTTGACGTGGATATTCACTACGGTGAGTTATTTATGCGATGCTTTGGCCCGGTGTACCCTTGTTTTGTTTCTGCTGTGGTCTTTTCTCACAGCACGCTCTCGTCTGTCATGCATGCAGTTAACACGAATCTTTCAAACAGCTCAAGGTGTAACCCACTTGGAGTTACTCATCCTCATGGCTCTTTTCTTTCCCATGCAAGGATGTTTCAATGCACTCATCTACTTTCGGTCTCAACGCAATCGAAACCAACACAACAGCCGATTCTCTGCGACCTCTCGTGCGGCAAAGACTACCCAGTTCAAATCGAGTGCCTCCCAAGCTCAGCAGCCGTTCTCTGTGGTACCACCCATGTCCGTGGCCAGCAGTTGCGACGATGGTGATGAGGATGATGATGATGAAGAGTTTGGTGAAGAATTGGGGCAACCGACTTTCCACAACAATACTCACGAGTCTCGGGAGATGACTCTACCGGATGGCCAAGAAGGTAGCAACGAGCTACCGGGAAACGATGAAACTGAATAAGTGCCGAGTGCCAGACGAAAGAAAGTCTTCACACCCCAAATGCAGCAATGTGGATGGATGCAAGAATTGGCCGAGCGACTCCTCTCTGCACGTTCTTGAAGCACAACAACTGCAACGATGGATACATATTCATGCCAGACAGCCGGAGCCATCCCGCGAGTTTGACGGGAAGGGAAGATCAAGACATGGCCGCGTGAGACCCTTACTCAAAATGTGGGAAGGTGACAGCAAAAGCTTCCAGTCTACTGGTACTCTTGGATTCGATTCATACATGACGACATATACCGATAGCCAGTTGCACGCATACATGAGCTCTTCGAAGCAGTCTCTGTTTCGCTTCGCTGCCCCTTTGTCAGCAGTATGTACCGGAAGCATTTGATAACGCTGACTGAGCTGCTCGTTTGCTTGCTTGGGGACCGGCCCGAAAACTAAAAACAAGTAAGTTGTCTGCTTTGCAACAGCAGCGTCATCTCCCCACTCGGAAGGAAAGACTACAAGTCCAGACGTCGTAGCCTATCCTGTGCTATTTGGGTACTACCGGTACCTACTAGCCGAGTAGTAGATGGGCCTAGCTAGCTAGACCCATGAGTGGCAGTCTATAATTCGATACAGAGAACAATTTGGCTACATGGCCACATCTTTTGAACTTCAGACCGGCACAACGAATACCGATACCTGCCTTACATGCATCAAATGATCATCTCACACAACTTGGAAAGGACATCGTCTCCAGCATGGACTTTGCTTGCTTACAACGGGATCACCCCTGGGCCACGACCATGACTAGAGGCACACGAGGCCAAAGGAACAGCCATCATTCAATGATGACGTTACTTCTGGAGGGCGAACCTATCCTTCAAGGAAACTTCTTTGTGTCGACACCTTCATGCGGCCCGCCCAGTTCCTCGCATGGAGTTTCTTGGCTCTTCCTTCTACACCCCTTCTGCATGCATGGCCTGTCCTCTTGGAGAACCGTGTGATGCATGTTAGCTACGTAGAGTTTGCAATGACCCAGGTGATAACACCCAAGCAAGAGAAAAAAGCACGCTTCATTGTCGTTGTTCTTTCGTTCCGATGAGAGTTTGCAGTTGGCTGGCTAGCTATGGGTGCATTATTTGTTTTGTAGCTGTCGCTGAAATGCTTTCGTACGGGTTTCGGTGTGTACGTCGTCAAGGACACCGAACTGAAGAGCCATCCAAACAAGGCCTTGCAAGGAAACCTTCCCACCCTCTCTGGCATGAGGCAGCGAGCAATACTTACTACTTGAATGTGGGAAACACCTGGACCTTGGATCATGGGTCATCCAGCTGTATCTATTCCATATTCACTTCTTGGCTTTCTGAATCGAATCGAATCGAATCTTCAATCCGTTAATACATTTTGCACCTATCAGCAAGTCTTCCTGTTTATCATCTGTGTTGCAGTTGCAGCCATCCTGGAGTTCTGGCATGCAAAGTGGGATGCAACTGTTGCCTTATACCCCTTTTGAGAGAGCTATCTTTTCATCTTGCTACTAGGGCAATAGAATACAGAATCGAATCTTGTGTCTATCTGTCTTGCTTTCTAGTTGTTTTTGTTACCCTGTTGGACAAGCTCGCTACATGTACTAGTAGTGGATAAGAAGATGGAATGATTTCATTTGCAATAATATATATGGTCATCTTATGTATCGTTTATATATTCAAAGTGGTTCTTTCTATCTTGAAGTAAAAAGAGTATTGGCATGCATTGTGCAAAGTGATATGTGCAGCAGAGAAGAATGTATGTATGTATACAGAGGTTGTTTGTGAAAACTGTTGAGGATGTTTTATCCCATGAGAAAGTGTGCCATGACACAGTCCGCAAGTTGCTCCAAAGAAGCTTCTTCTTGGCGAGTCAATCCCTGAGGTCTTGGTTGTTGGCCCCAGACGGCCAGCACTCCCAAGACGGCTCCTTCGGGTGACCGGATGGGAGCTCCGGCGTAAAAGCGCATGCCGTTGGTCCTGCACAAGTGGAATCGATCATCGGCAGCAATGTCAGGGACCACCAGGAGGCCACATTCGGTTCTTCGGTGGAGGGCGTGAGCGCAAATGGACTTTGATCGTGCCATTTCCTTGGGAGTGCTCCTGTAGTGGTCAGCACTGTCACTATCGCTGTTGTTGTTGTTACCCACTTGTGCCTTGAGGCAGAATCGTCCCAAGTCCATGACTCCAATGGTAGCTTGATCTACTTGCAAGAGATTCTTGGCTTCTTGGGCAAGTTCTTCGAGTTCAGGATTTTCTGACAAATCCAAAATGTTCTCGTAGGATACCAGGACCTGCAGACGCTTGGCTTCGGCGTAGGAATCATTGGCGTTGTCTTGAGTCGTCATCTCGTCGTACTTGGAAAGCTTCCAATCAGCGACATGGACATCTTTACTACTGCTGGTGCAGTCACCCAAAGCAAGGGCGCGCTCCATGGAGGAGACAGTGTCAAAGTCAAGGACAGAGCGGTGGATCAAAGAAAGACGAGGAGACATGGTGGTGAATTTCTTGGGTAGAAAAAGAAAGAAAGAAACGAATGTGCTTCTTGAGAGATTGCCTTGACAGTTGCTCAGCTTGGAAAATTGTGAGAAAAACTGAGGGAGCGAAAATCCTTGCCTCCAAAATCCCCACCCAACAACTGGCTAGCTACTAGCTAGCTAGCTAGAGAAAAGATAGATCTGCTGGGATGTTACAATGCTGACGGTATCTTTGAATAGTCAAGACCTGTTTGACCATCATGATTGATTGAATCATTCAGGCTATAGTTGACTTCTCCCTCAACAGCTGGCGGTTCTGGGGTCCTGCGCTGTCAGCCACCTCATCATCAACAATGGGTTGTTGTGGGCAGTGTGGCATTCAAGTTGAACGCGGAATTCAATCGGGCAGACACTGCCAGTTAGTTGAAACAGACTGACTAGTTCACTGTGGTGCTTTTGCGTTCTTTCAACTTTTGGAGAGACTTTCGGTTGCACCACGTCAGTAGAGTTTAGTGACCCAAGCACCCAAGCTACCGGTACCCCTCAATTCTGGGTTAAGATGCTCCTTATTCCATGATGACCAATTGTACTTTCCAATTAGATGAGACTATACTTAATTAACAGCAATAGAGGATCACTTCTTACAATCACTGTGAGAATAAAATAGATCAATTCGGGGAACCTACTCATACGGAAGTGATTTATCAGTTTCAACCCGTTAACCCTCGATGCAGCAGCTGAACTGCTTTTTTGCATTCTGCATTGAAGTTTTACGGTCTCGGTCACTGACTACTTTTACGGTACCAAAACCAGGTCAGCTACTAGTAGCGCTGAGGTGGCCACATTATTTTTTCCGCCACAGAAGCACCATCCTTCTTCTCATGGCCACACTCTTGTGAAAACGATAAAAGCAAAAGTACAAGGTGCAGCTTGATGAGGGGCAGTACCATGCACGTTTTGGCTATTGACTGGCTGCTCTCCTGACGTGTTGCCTTCAACCTTCTAAAGGCGAGGTGGTGCAACATAAAGTGGCTACTATCACCGCAACCTTGGCACACATACATGTGGAAGAAAGCCAGTACCTGTAAAAGTATCCTAAGAGTGCGTCCAGACGGCACTGTCAAATTCCAAAACGTTACTGTGAATGTAGACTACTGCAAACTGCAACCTTCAATCAAGATCGGAGGGGCGGTTGAGAGTTAGGTTGCAGGTAGTCATCCAGCACCCATCTGGGAACATTGCTGCTGCAACCTTGAATGTCGATCTGTGATTTCGAACATCTGCTGGCCTTCTTGATCTTGGTCTTTGGATGTTTGCCAGCTGGCCTACAGACATACTGTTTGACTATTATTGTTTGCGCAACGCTGTGGTCCAGCAAGGTCTCGACCAAGCCATGGCTGAACCGGCAACTTTGTCGTCTTTGTCTTCTGCTGGCTTCCATAATCCATCCAGCAGACTTTGGTTCGTCATTGTCATCGGTCTTCTATAGAAGAACCGCTCAAGTTGGCTGGGTGTCAGTTAGTTGCCGAGTACCTTAGTCATTGCATTCACATTCTTCGGTTCTAAGAGCCTCAAAAGAATGCCAACAGCGGTCCGCAAGGTTTGGCTGGTACGGTACCGGTAGGATTCTATCAATTTCGTTGGATTTTCAAAGGAGCTTTTTGGTCTCGACTTGCAAGACTTGTATTCCTTTGAATCGAATCTTTCGTTCTAATAAAAGCCTCAAAAGAATGCCAACAGGGGTCCGCAAGCAAGGTTTGACTTTGATACGATTGATTCAATTCATTTCGATGCAACGTCAAAGAACCTTTTTGGCTTGGTCTCGACTTGCTGGACTGCATTCCTTTGAAACTTTGGTTTCAAAAGAATGCCATTAGCGGTTCGCGAGGTTTGGCTGGTAAGATTGAATCATTTATTTCATCAATTAATTCATTGCAACGTCAAAGGAGCTTTTTTGGTCTGGACTTGCTTGCTATACTTGCATTCCTTTGAATTCTTTGTTTCAATACGATAGGCCATGGCCAGGCAGGAATGGTGTCTAGCTAGTTGGAGTCCAGCGTAGGCTGGCTGGACTGATTCAACAAGGCAGGAACAAGGAGAGGCTTTTTGTTCCTCCAACCATGGCTATAGTGACCTTGTTCGGTATCATGTACTAGTAGTAGGTAGCTATCATTCCCACCACGTCAATCTTTGTCTGGCTGGAAGCACCTCAGAGGAGGCTGTTGCAGCGAAACATTGCCCAAATAGAGACTTGGTAGCAAGGAGCAGCTGCCAGGTTACAACACTGTCCGCATGTGCATCGAATTCGCAGCAATTACTGGTTTATCTACTCCGCACCAGATAGTTTATTGGGTAATGTACAAGTCAGTGATGGCATGCATCGCCCAAGATTCCCGCCCTCGTTTCGTTTGCCGAATCCCAGTGCGTCTCCAGCACCTTTGCTCTGCTCTGCTCTGCTCTGCTCAGCGTCGTACCCATGCATGAGGGATGTACCAAGGGCGTGCAAGCAGCACCTTCTTCCGTAACCATGATGCTCCAGTAGTGGCTCGTTGAGCTCATGCCCTGTTGCACTGGCTGTCGCGAACTCTTTCAAACGGATCAGGTGATTTAGTGCCCACGCAACTGGCTCAAAGTTGCTGCAGTCAGGAGTCAGGAGCCCTCGTCAGCCATGAGGAAACCCCAGGGCGGCAGCTTCGCAACAAGAAGCATGGGAGCTTCCTGCAGCATTCGTTTTGCCCAATCCTACCGGTAGCTAGTAGTGCTTGCGTGTTCGCTTGGTTAGATAATCTACAAAGCAGCCTGACAATCACGATATTATGCACCCAGCTTCGTTAGGGATCGATGTCTGTGTCTCCGCCACCAATCAGCAAATTGCCGACATTGCTATAGTTGCCATCACTGTCCTCACTTCCTGGCGCTGCTGTGGGCGCATCTGTGACAACCAGGCCAGAAAGATCCTCTCCCTCTGTGCTGTTGTTTGCAAGGCATTCATCTACTTGTGGAGGGACACAAGTGAAGTTTGCAAGCCTCAGATCTTCTAATGTGGGATACCATGCAGCAAAGGTACAATCAAGGTCGTCATCCAACTTGGTGATGTAGTTTCCAATGAGGAAGCCAGACTCAACATCAAACGGATCCAAGGTTTGCTCCAACAAAACTGCACCAGCACCTCTAAAGTCATTGTCAATGAAGCAAACATCTTGCAGCACAATGGAAGCTCCTTCCACTGAGATACCATAACCAATAGGCTTTGGAAAAGCATTGAGGTTAGCAACAGGCGGAGTCACTCAAGAAAGCGACTCAACTCAGCAAACTACCAAGTGCTTACCGCCAGAGTAGCATTTCCATACTGGTTGTTTGAGAAGGTGCATCGTTCCAAGGTGACAATATGATCAGGGCCTTTGACTGTAATTATTCCAAATTCCACTCCCAATTTTCGCTCAATTTGTTGCAAATTCTTTGAAGAACAGAAGAAATGTTTCAGCTTGCCTTTTCATAAAGTGTGAAAACAAACAAACAAACAACATGATAGAAATCCATGCTCTTACATCAAAGAGACAATCGGTCATGGTGACCTTCATTATCTTTTCTTGTAGATTTCGGCCATTTCCTCGAGACTTCCTTCGTTCGAAACTGAGTGGTGACCTGCCCTGGCAACCTTGGATAAATTCCATTGCGTCGTCCCAGGGATTCTCCGTTTCACCTTTCCTAAGGTGTCTTGATAAATCGAGGGTTGAATCATAGTTCAATACAACTGGGCCAAAGTTTGCAGTGTCCTACAATGAAAGAACGGTCAGTCATCACCAGGGCAGAATACAGGAACCACAACATGCACCAAATCCATGTTTTGTCCTAACCTTAAAAACACAGTCATGGAAAGAGATGTCTCCTGCCACTGCACCAAAAACGGAATATTGGACCTGCCCTTGGAAAGTGAACCCACTAATTGTGACATTGTTGACGTAGAGATCCTGCCGAAAGAACACTGGCACAGCAATCAAGCCAAAATCACCTCCCCTGATGACACAATTATTTTCCGCTTTGCCATCCTCTCCGCAGAGATACTGACGGTTTGATCTGGGAACCAGTGGCGGCTGTCCTTTGTCAAAGCCAATTCCGGGCACAAGGAAACCAACATCAATAGTTGTATTTGGGCACAAGACAAATCTTTGCAAACTGTCAAAGCTGCTGGCATCATAAATGGCAGTTAGACTGGAGTAGCAACCTTCCTCAGTGGTAGGAGGTATGGTGACAGGCGTTGAAGAAGGGGAGCCAGGTTGGATTCCTGTGCTTGTTGGCATAGTAACTGGCGATGGATTGGGCACTGAAAACAAACATAAGATTAGGATGAACCTGGGATATAATCTCATCAGTAGAAGAACTTACCAACTGTGCCTACATTTGCAGCAGGATCTTGAGCAAGATTTGGACACACATCAATTGCATTGGGGCAATCTCTAATGAGGCATTGAAATGTTGCATCCCATTCATTGGGGCAAGATTCCATGGCAACTGCAGCTGTGAATGCCACTCCTCCCAATGAAAGCATTAATTCGTCAGGGCCTGGTGAAAGTCCCTGCTTAGGGAATGCCATGGCAGTTTTAAGTGGCGCTGTTGTTGTACAGGTGGGAACCTCACAATTGGTGCGGTCTTCTCCTGTGATCTTCCCGATTACACAAACAGTCAAGGCATGCAGTGCATTCACGCATGCTGAAAGACAGCAGTCCTGTGTATCAGCTCCAGCAACAGAGTCACAAATATCATCTGCAAGTTCGGCACAGTCTGGGACTCCACTAACTGGAAAAGATATGTCGGAGCTTGTTGGCATAGTAACTGGGGATGGATTGGGCACTGAAAGAGAATGAGCAAGAGCCAAGGAGCATGTTGAGGCGGAAGCAGGAGCCACAACATTGGATGTCAGCTAGAATAGAACTTACCTGTAGTTCCAGGCGGAAGAGGCGGAACAGGCTCTGAAAGGTCAGGGCACACGTCAATTAGGTTGGGACAGTCCCTTATCAAACACTGAAGTGTGGCATCCCAGGATTGTGGGCAGTTTTCTTGTGCAAAGTCAGCATCAACGAGAAGGTTCAATGGGATATCACTTAAAAATTGTCGTGGTTGGTTTGTCCCACGGGCTATGGATGAACCAGCAAGGCCCCCGCAAGTGGGGACTGCACAATCAGAATGGTCAAATCCTGTAGTCTCGAAGGCAATACAAACCATCAAATCAAATATTTCTGCAGAACATTCTTTTATGCAGCACTCCTCAAAGTCATCATTTACGAGGCTATCACAGAAAATCGCCTCGTAGTCCTCGCAAAAGGTTGCAGATGCAGGGTCAAGTACTGATGTCGATTCTTCTTGTTCGTCAGCCACAACCTCTGCCGACATCATTTATTATTGCATAGAAAACAAGACAACATGAGGTAGCGAAAACAATACAAGGGTAAGCCATGTCAAGAAGAGTTCTGTGTCGTCAGTGAAAGGACAGCTGAAAGAACGCACCTGGACACACATCAAGGAACTTCACGCAGTCAACGAGGGCGCACCTGAAAGCAGCATCCCACTCGAATGGGCAGTTCACGTATGCGTCCTCCACTACGAATTCGATGCCAAGCACTTCCATTTGGATCAAGTCAAGGTCGAGAACACCAAATTGTTTTCCCGTGGATTGCTGCGCTTTCGCGATTGTAGCGGATGTTACTGGACACTGAGCCATGGAACACCCCGAGTAGTCTGCTCCCGTGGCTTCTCGAATCAAGCAAACAAAGAGATTCTGCATTTCAACGGCGCACTCTTTTAAGCAGCACTCTTCGCCTTCTACAGCGCGACAGACATCTGCTTCGAAATCGCCACAGGCTACAGCTGGTTGGCCCGTCGCGACTACCCAGAGACATGACAGCGGCAGCAACAGTTGAAGATAGGTGGCCATCAACATGGTAGTTGACTCCTATAGATCCACTTTCTTTGATGGACCCCCTTGCTCATGGATTGTTGTTTCTCAAACGGGGTTTTCGGAAACTCCACTGACGCGAAAGATCGAGCCACCGCCAATTTTGGGAGGTGGGGAACAGAGTGACGAGTCGTCAAGTTGCCAAATTTGGTCATGAATGGTTCGAAGTTCCAAAGCTAAAGCTAATAAGGTAAAATACGGAAGCCGGCAAGGTAGCTACCTCCCGCGCTGATCGCACCGGAACTTGGCATTCACCGCCCTATTGAAAGAGTGCGAGTAAAGAACCAGACCTTCCTTGAAGTACTCTCGCAAGAGATGCTCCAGCAGCAAGCAATCAAATCAAAGCACTTTGAATCGCCATATTGCGTCCTCGTTACATCCAACAGAGGTGGAATGGGATGCTGGATTCCAGCCTTTCATAGCCAGCCAATGATGAATCCAGAAGGAATAAAGTCGTGCAGCAAAGCGACAACCGATGAAGCATCCGTGTGGGCACTTAATGAGCCGTCCAAACCCTGACCCTTTTCAGCGTTCCCAAGGGAGAAGGCAGGGAGCAGGCAAAACACCAGATTCCAGTTTCCCAAAACCAGCTTCCATACGTAGTAGCCCCGCAGCCAGAGCTCGGAGAAACCAAAGGCGAGAGGACAACGGGAACAACAAACAGACCAGAACGCAACGCGACACTACAGCCCATTCATCAGATTCTTCCTACTATGTTTATTGATTACGATATATGAAAAAAGTCACTGGGACGGAGCATAATCCTTCCAGCATTTTTGATCCAATTCCCTTCTTGTTGAAAAAGGTAATATAGCCACAGAAAATTCGCCAACAAGTCTTGTTGTTTGTCGTTAGAGCAAGCCAAGCCAAGACAACACTGCACCGCTACACAACGGTCAGTGCAATGCCATTCGATGCCAACTGTCTGTTTAGAGACCCAAAGCATCCTTGACCATACCGACGGGACCGGTGGCCTTGGGCTTGAATCCGTAAAGAGGAAGTGAACCAGGTTCGGGGACCTTGGCTTCGTACTTGCCCTTGCAGAGCAGTTTCTCCATGGAAGTCGCACAACGTTCAATCATGGCCTCTTCTGCCTTGCGGACCCAGACACGTGGATCGTAGAATTTCTTGTTGGGCTTGTCAGCGCCGGTGGGGTTACCGATTTGTCCCTGCAAGTAATCGTGCTTGTCCTTTTCGAATTCACGCAATCCGTTCCAGTAGGCCCACTGGGTGTCGGTATCAATGTTCATCTTGACGACACCATTTTCGACGGCCGTCTTGATTTCGTCGTCGGTGGAACCGGATCCTCCGTGCATGACCAAAAAGATGGGCTTGTCCGAGTCGGAACCGAGCTTTTCCTTGGCGTACGCTTGGTGTTTTCCAAGACGTTCGGGCTGGAGAGTGACATTACCGGGCTTGTAGACACCGTGGACATTTCCAAAAGCAGCCGCAATGGAGAACATGTTTCCAATTTTGGAGAGTCTTTCGTAGACGGCATAGACTTGCTCGGGGCTGGTGTAGAGTTTTTCGGGGTCGACTGTCGAAAGGAAAAATAGTGAAATGGAAAATGAACGTGTGAGATGAGTGTGAATAGTCGATTCGATGCCTCCCAAATTTTGACGAGTGTGCTCCAGAGACGAGGGAGATCAGGGAGAGCGAACAGAGCAGCATGGAAAAAATAAATAATCCAACAGAGGTTCGTCCATCCAGTCGCAGACACCCAAATGGATGGATCCAGGATTTGACTTCTGGCTTGTCTTGTCGTCCCATGGCAATAATAATAATAATAATAAAACAATCCAAAGAAAATAATATTGAAAAGACTCACCATCCTCATTGTTGACACCATCTTCCTCTCCTCCAGTGATTCCAATTTCCATCTCCAGCCAGATCTTCATCTTGACCAATCGTTCAAAGTATTGGGCACAAATGGCAATGTTATCCTCATCGGGTTCTTCGGAAAGATCCAACATGTGAGAACTGTACAAGGGCTCGCCGTATTGCTTGAAATATTCTTCGTCAGCGGCAATCATGCCATCGAACCAGGGCAACAATTTCTTGGCACAGTGATCCGAGTGCAAGACAACGGGGATTCCATAGTAAGGAGCCATGGTACGAACGTGCATCGCCAAGGCGACGGCACCAGCGGCACAGTTGTTGGGGTCTTTGATTCCCTTGCCGGCGTAAAAGGCACCTCCTCCGTTCGACACTTGGATCATGACGGGGGAGTTGAACTTGCGAGCAGCTTCCATGGCGGCATTGGCAGTGGAGGAACTGAATGATAGACAGAAAGAATGACCCAAATAATAGTTAGTTCGTGAAAAAAGATCCATGAAAGATACCCCTTCGCATAATATTTTGAACATAACCTACATACCTGGTGCAGTTGAAAGCAGGGATGGCATATCCATTGTCCTTGGCATGGGTCAAAAGGGCAAGGAGGTTGTCGCCAGTGACAACACCTGGGGGAACGATATCAGGGAGAGACATGGTCAAGAATAGTTGTAGAAAAGAAAATAACCAAAATAATGAATGGAAAGGATTCTTTTTTGTGCTTGCAATTGGATGCAACTGCTTCCCAAATCTCAACGAGAAAAGAAAGACGAGCGTCAGTGCATCTTCATCCGTAGCTCCGTAGCCAACCGAATGGGAACTCCAACACTCCAGCAAGAAAGCGGATCCATTTGGCCTTCTCAAGGGTATAATCGTATTGTCACGTAAAGTATGAAGGGGTATTAAATTATGGAGATTGTTATAATGAAACAATTGTAATGTAGTATAAGATTAGATATCAATTGATAACAAAGGAAATTGCCATCATGATTATTCGGAAGCCTAAAGATTCAGTGGCTGACGTTGTTCCTCTCCACACGCAAGGAGCAGCTGCTCCGGAACAAGCCAGCGCAACTTCCTATACTGTAGCACACCACGTTGCCTGCTTGGATGAATATCTTGTTTCACTTATTACTTCGAGGCCTAACTAACTATGATAGTGAGCTCACAAAAGCCACGCACTACAAGTTTTGGTGTTTGTTTGCTCTCTATTGGCTAGATGAGGGAAGCCACAGCTTGCCCCTCGTGCAACGAAAGCAAGAATTTGCTTCGGTTGCCTACACAGAAGAAGCTCAGTCGGTTAGTTAACTTGCCACCGGCAGGGTTGGGTGCATGGACTGTACTTCCGTTACGCCCCTGGTAGACTGGATGGAACGTTCCAGTAGCTACAGTATCGAAGAATGCATGCAACCCAAGGTGGGCCACGTACGTAGTGGGCTATTTGCTGCTACCTATCTAGCTAGCTCAAGCTCGTTCTTGCAGCCAGGTTTCGGGTTTCTACGGTCTCTGGTCTGAGTTCTACCATAGTCAGGCAGCCGAGGAGGACTGTGTGGCCCAGCAGAATCGAATCTTCAGGCTAGCTGGCTAGCTACCGGAAAGAATGCAAACAAAGTGGACAATACGCAATGCCTTTGCTACAGTAGCAACCAGACAGACTACCGGTAGTAGGGAGCAATGGCCTCCCGTACGGCACCTGCTTTGCGTTCTTTGAAGCAATTGAAGCAAAGAGGACCTGCCCCCAACAAGCACCACGGTGCATTCGAAAGAAAAATGCGGACGTAACGAAGCTTCCCGTTGTAGAGTTGGTATAGTGCGTGAGTGTCATGTTGCTTTTGGGCTCCGGTGTGCGAACGGTAGCTGTCGTTCGTTTGCCTTGTTCTGTCCTCCAAGAGGTACCGGTACCTGGTACCGGTTCCGAAACGGGTTGTGTATGTGTAGGTACCGCACCGGTACATCGTAGAGCGGCAAGAAGGACCAAGAGTTCAGCAGGAAACCAATAGCATGCTCCCGCCTTCTGTGTGGCTGGATTTTGGTCAAGCAAGGCACGACAACTACAACCTGCGATGACGATCGATCGCCTCATTGCTTACGGTGCCTATTCTGTGCTCCGTGGATTGTTACATGTAGTTGCCTGCGATGGTACCGGTACCACACGAAGGAATCTCACGAAAAAGGAGTGGCACAAAGCCATTCGGCTCTGGATGGCTTGTGCAAGCCTCTCGTCGCGTTGCGTGGTCCTCGATCGCGAGAGACAACCGACACAGAAGGCGTTTGGCGGAGAGGAAGCGCCACGTCGTTGAAGGAGCTCACGGTTGCTGCGATGGGACTTCATCTACGACTGTACTCGAAAACAAGCGAAAGGACGGTGAAAGCTACTACTGGAGAGAGGCCAAATTTTGTACATGTGATTGACTACTAGTTAGGATTGTGTTGCGGGTGTGCATCTACTACTTTTGATTGTTGCTCTGTCGCCTTCCGCTGCGAGGGACGTTGGTTCGCCGCTCTAGAAAGACTCGACTGAGGACTCCACTGTGCTCCTCCAGGCAGCGTTCATCGTTCTTCTCCGCACAACATTTTCACTTCGGCTTGATTACGGACAACGAGACAGACGGACATTTAGACGTAGCGAAAGGAAATGGACTTGAGACGACCTTGGGCATCGAAATGGAAACTGGGTGCCACCTCCTTCTGCTCGTCACGACTCTTTTCTACTTGTTGTTGCTGTTCTTGAGGGCGGCGGCGACGACGGCCCTTGGATTGGTTGCGACGCTGCTTGTTCTCGTCGTTCTCGTAAAGGCTGGGACCTCCCTTGTACGTGAGTCCGTCGAGGACGCGGTTTCCACTGTTCTTCTTGCGACGTGGGTTGGTAGAGATTTGTTTTTGTCCCAGCTTGTTGGGAAAGCGAGATCCACTGAATCGAGTTTCGTTGGAGCTTGCCATTGTGTCTCGATGATGAGTGATTTCTCCTTGGTCAACGTTTTGTCGTGGCTGGTGCAGGAGTCCTCGGAAGAAGTGAAACGAGCAACTACTCGAGTAGAATCGGGTACGAGATCGTAGAATGGAGGTGTAGTCGAGGAGGCTTGTACCGGCTATGGTGCTGCTACGGTAGATCTACCGGTACTCGTAGAGACTGTTCTTGATGAAGCGCTCAAATGATCGAGGACAAAGGGAGCGTTCACAAGGCCGAGAGTGGGTCGGAGGAAAACGATCGAACCGCTCGAGCCGCCCACGGTGTGTACCAGGTACGGAAAGACAGCTGAGCTGCCGCAATCCCCTGTCGCAAGTGACAACGAAGCCTCCATGCACAAGTACCTGTACCTGGTAGGTACCTACCATACGCCCTTCCCTATTGTGCTTCGAATCGGAACAGGCTTGGTGAAGAACATGAAGCTGGAGAGTGGGCGGTCGTCTCACTCGTTGTACTTCTTAAACCGGTAGCTGAAGCCCACGACGAGCCTCAGCAAGGGTCAATAAGCCGCCCACGAGGCAAGACAAATTGAACCAAACAGACTACGTGGCTGTTCGTTGTGCTGGCCTCGATCATAGATCCAATACTTTTCATTTTCATTTCTACTAGTAGTATGTAATTATTGCGGTGGTCACACCGATGAATGTAATCTTTTTGTCTCTTCATGCATACAGGGGGGCAGAGGGCTCTGAAACCACAGTCCAGCTCCTCGGGCCTTTCGGTCGGCCCATTCGCTAAGAAACCGGGGAGAGCCCCAACAATCAATAAAACTGGGTAACGCCGTCGCATACGGTAGCTACCACTGTGGCGATCAAGATGGCCCGTGAAAAAAGGATGTTTCACGCTGTCTCCAGAAACGTCGACACAAAATCATCAGCCCAACTATCCTCATCATCAGACGAGACATTGGATGGCGCTTGGGCCGCATTTCCAGTCACGGAACCGCCGCCTTCCACTGCCTCGTTGTCACCACCTGCACCTTGAGGATCGCCTGCTGGTGGTGACTCTGACGAATTGTCGCTGGGACTTCCGCGTTGGGGCGGTCCACCACGGCCATTAGTCTACCTCCACTGCGACGCCTGTTTTTGCATCTGGCATTAGCAATGTCATGAAGCAGGCAAGCTCGGCTTGCAACAACAAAGTTGATGACATGCAACTGTCGCACGACACCGAGGTGGGCCGCATCTTGCCAATCAGGATGCGGCAAACTGCCGGGACCGCCCACAACGCGCTCCAACTCCACCCACACAGTGACACCACGAATGTTTTGACCTGTTCGAAGATTAAAGGCTGCTGTGAGCATGTCCAAAAAGACCGTCACCAGAAAACCAGCAGTATTGAAGGCGCGGTTTCCCATTCCAATCTCCCTGATTATGAATCGGAACGCATTTCTGTAAAACAGAGTCAAACTGTTTAGAAAAAGGCCACTCCTTTGAGGCCTGTATTTGATGGTCAGCACGTTAGTGAGTCCTTCCAGGGACCCCTGAGGAATCACGGCTGGTCCAGCACGAGCTGGCTGCTGCGGTTGCCCTTCCAGGCGAACAAGCCTGTGATGCAAATTCTGGAGCTGCTGCTGTTGCCACAAAATCTGGTTGTTCTGAAGCAATTGTGGCGGAGGGACTGGCATTCCTTGAAACATCCCGTTAGGCTGATTGATCATTGGTGCCTGCGGAGGCGGCCCCGGCGAAGCTGCGTGCTGCTGCCAACGACCGTCGTTCATGGCTTTCTCAGTTGTTTCTCCAGGTCGTGGGTGGTGGTTGTCGAAACAAAGCGTGAAACTTATAAGGGCAAATCCATCCTGGAAATACTCTACTGCTTCTCACTCCATCAAAAGGGCAGCAGATCCAAGCAAACATCAGCGTTGATTTCCCACACATCCTGCTGCGTTAGCGGCTGCAATTAGACAAACCTGGGAGACCACCTGGCAGCCCGCTCGTGACAGCACAATAATTCATTTGTAGATTGCTTATGCCCATGGTCCCTAATTGTTGCCTCCTGAAGGTGCCGCTCGTGATTGCGCAATAAATCACTTGTTGAAAGTGGAAGCTCATGGTGGCTAATTGTTGCATCCAACTGAAGACCCAAACCTAAGCCGACCCGGGGGCAGCAAACGGTTGGAATGACTGGATAGAGCCACTGAAAGTGCCAACTTGAGGATCACGCCTTGGTCCTTTTTGCCCGGTGGTAGTGTCACCTTGAGAACGGTGGTTCACGCCATGGTCGCGATTTTATGCTTCTCTTGTCATTCCGTATTCCGAATTCTAAGGCGATAAGCCGGCCCAGCTGGCAAAAGACGGTACCTCCAAGCGAAAGTCGGTGGCGAATCGTCGGTTGTAGAGCGCCATGGTGGTGGTGGTTTCTTTCTCTTGCTTCCTTCTTGTCTTGTTGATCCTAACCTGAGAGTAAGCGGAACGGTTGATTGTTGCATGTCATGGTCGCTTTGTTAGCTAGCGGCATTCCGAATACCACGTAGCAAATGTACCAGGGGTTACGTAGACACCCCGCAGTGGCTCCCCCACCCCCAGAGTCCGACGCAAACGACGGAGCGTCATCATATCCTGTGTGGATACTCATTCCGGAATCACCTGTAGAGCAGAATTGACCGCGTTTTAAGGAGACTGAACAAGAGCGATATCGAAAAGCAGTAGCTTGCAGGCTTCCGCACAGTGCCAGTTTTGCAGGTCAACGTTATCTCACCTTGGTGGTCTAGCAGGTGTAGAGCATCCATGTAAGCGATAAGGAAGAGAGGAAGACACCGGTAGCGGTGTCGTTGGTAGCACCTTCCAATGGCTATGATTGACCTTACAACAGCTCGACCGTAACAACACAGCAAGAGATGCGCGCGCGCCTACCTAAGCATGGACCTCCAGGGAGAGACAGTCGCCTAGCCTCGGGGCGCTGTCGATCAACCTCGTTGATAACCTTGCTAGCTGGTGCGAGGGCAACAGGGAAGCCTCTGATCAGGGTTGTTTACGGCTTCCCACAGCGCCATGGTGGCGAAGTTTTCATGTTATCGCATTTGAGAATGAAGAAACATGTGATGGAGACAGACGCAAAATCCAAGACTGGGAGACTAGACAGCTGAGCTGCCTGATTTACGCTGGTACCCGGTACCTGGTACGCACTCTTCCATCAATCACCCGCAGTTCACTGGTTGCACACATTCTGCGTACGGCTGTACATATCATCCTGCATCCATCATCCTTCATCTCTCCTTCTTCGACTGCATTTGGTTGTTGTTCTCATCACGATGACGGAGTCATCTTTTCATGGCATACTTCTGGCCATCAGTCTCATTGCCGTCCTGCTTGTGGCGTCGATACCATCCGTCACTGGATCTTCCGGGGAGGATGTCAAGGAATCACCCATAGAGGATCTTTCCTCCATGAATCACAGTGAGGATTTGCCATTTGTCCTGGTGACTGGTGGAAATGGGCTTGTGGCATCCAACCTCATTTCAGAGCTGTTGCAACGAGGTCATCATGTCAGAGCCACGGTGAGAGATCCATTCAAGGCTTCTCACCTAAGAACTTTTTCCAAAGCGGAAACACATTTGGAAATTGCTGCCTTCGATTTGAAGGAACAAGATAAACAAGTGTACAAAGACTTGCTAATGGGAGGCATTGACTGGATATTTCATGTGGCAGCTCCATTTGTGGATTTTTTGCCACAATCTGATGAAACCATCAAAATAGCAGTCCAGTCCATCACATGGTTGCTGCAAGCAGCCCAAGAGTCAAATGCCTCACAAGTGGTCTACACAGGATCCGGTGCTGCCGTGTACTTTGGATACTCGGACAATCCCATCAAGTCAGATCCCAATTATATCTTTACCGAAGACGATTGGACCAATGTCACCTCGATGGGCATCTTGACGGACTATGCCAAAATGAAAACTCTCACTGAACTGGCAGCGTGGGAATTTGTGGAAAAGCATGCACCTAACTTTCGCTTCTCCAGTCTTTTACCCGGTTTCGTCTTGGGAACCTTGTTGTCAGAGACAGTGACCAGTTCCAAACGGGTCATTTTTGAAACCATGATGGGAACATATCCAGGTGTCTTTGATCTGTACATTCCACTTGTTGATATCCGGGATGTTGTGGAAGCTCATTTTCGAGCTGCCATGCAAAAAGAGGAATCCACCGATAGTAGATGGGCCAACCAGAGAAGACGGTTCTTACTCACACGAAAGAAGGGTAAGGATATCTTTTATCCCAAAGTTGCAGCCATTCTCAAAGAGCACTTTGGTCCCATGGGATATTCCATTTCTACCTGGCACATTCCAAATTGGGTCTTGAGGATTGCCTCCTTGTTTGATAGGGAACTGTCAGTCATGTACCAAATGTTGGGAGTGGGAGAACAAATTGACAATTCCAAATCCATCGAGGTCCTAGGATTGACCTATCACAGCAATGCAGCAGAAATGATTCTGAATACAGCACATACCATGATTCAACAGGGACTGATACCCAAAAAGGTGGGATATCATGCACGTAGCTTGTTTGGGAGTGGTGAGCTGTAGGCTGTAGTGTGGAGACAACACTACATGCAACTCTCCTTGTGGTCCACCATTGCATCGCTGCCCCTGCCTACTCAACCTAAGCTAGTACCATACTAAGCTTTCTCAATGATCCTACAAGCCAATGCCATGCTCTTTGACCACTTCCTCTTTGACCACTTGCTCTTTGCAAAGTTCCAGTCGCGGTCCCGACTCTGTTCCCACCACCAACTAACTTTCCCCAACTAGCTACCGTAGCTAGCGACCTGTATCGGTTTCCAACTATGTCGCATTATTATTGTATGTAGGAAGAAGGCAAACCGCGGCCAAGGAAGATCTTCGATCAAACGCCGTGCTCCGGAGCCAGTATTTCGAGAGGAGACATCCCAAGATAGCAGGCAAAGCACATTCAGAACCGTTCCACTGCTACTCATGGGACCACCTACACACTTGACGGCAACCACCACCAGAGTTTATTTTTAATTTCTATGCTGGGCGAAGCTTAATATGATTCGACGAGCCAATATCAAGCCACACCATTCCCCTGCTGGTGGTCGCAGCGGCAGACAAAAGGCATTTGGAGTGGATTCCTCTTCTGGTCTGGCGAAGTTTCAGAAAAGGATCAGTGCTTCTATGATTCAGAGGATCCTTATCTGTCTCTCTGTTGCCATACTTGCCATATTGGGAATTCGACGTTTGACCAAAGTCCCTGTCCCGACTACTAGATACCCCTACCAACCGGCACTTCGAAACCAAAAACAATCAAACAAGGATGTGGATGTTCCAGAACTTAAATACATCATTCCACAAGAGTTGGTACGAAAGGGACAGATACCCCTTAGTACACGAGATTACAGTAACGAACTCATTTCAATCACTGACAAGAATGGAATACAGCAAGAGAGTTACATCAGTCTGGAAGCCTTTCGAGAATATGGAGATGAAATACGGCTACTGATGCAAATGGGAGGAGAGGTGCTGTCCCTCAATAATATGAATGAGGACAACAAGAGCCAACTGGCGTTTCGAAAACGATTCCATGCCAGAGCTCCTTGGTTGAAAGGGAATCCACTCATAGATCCTGACTGGCCAATGTCTACACTTCCAAAGCCAATACCCAACTCCAAAGCAATTATGATTTGTGCTGGTAATCCGCAACTGGCATATCTCAAGACTCTGGTACACTCCATAAGAGTGATTCACAATTCACAGATTCCAATCCGAATTGTCTTTCGGGATGAAAAGGATTTGACACCCAAGTCTAGGCAGGTAATATTGGACTCATTGCCTGAGCAACAACAGAGTGCCCACAACATACAATTTGTGGACCTGAGTCAATGGTTCAATTTGGATGCCGCCCAGTTAAAAGCTGGATGGAACCTGAAACCCTTTGGGCTGCTGGCTGTGGCAGAAACACAAGTTGTTTCCCTCGATGTTGATGTTCTTCTTTTACAACCACCTGAGGCATTGTTTTTATTGCAAGGGTATCAACAAACAGGAGCATTGTTTTTCCATGATCGCCTGTATCTGAACTACAAAGGCTTCTATGATCCAGGGGTGCTGGCCGCAGCATTGCAACCCAACCTTTCCAAAACAGCACAAGACATCATTCATTATGGCAAGACAGATTATATTGCAGAACATGTCATGGAGGCTGGCTTGACAATGCTGGATAAGAGTCGGCGAATGCTGGGAGTTTGGGCCATTTGTCTGCTCATGGGACGCACCGATTTTCGACGATACACACAAGCATTCTACATTTATGGGGACAAGGAGTTGTACTGGATTGGATTGGAGATTGTTTCGGAACCATACGCATTGGCTAAGTACTTTCCAGGGGCATATGGGAGCCTTCTAACCAAATTTGATCTTGGTCTTTCCGATGTTTTCGTTTATCCCGAAGACGATGAGACCAAAATTGCCAAGGAGCTGGAACGAGCGCAAAAAGACGACCGTTTTGCTCTTTGCGGAAGAATGGTTCATTTTGATGACACAGGAAGACCATTGTGGTCGAATGGAGGATATTTTACCGAAGAAGATGAGGATTGGGCCAGTCCCAGCAAGTGGATCGAACAGCCCTTGAATCCAATCTGGTACGTTGATGGTGGTCTCTGGACTGAGGAAGAATTTCTCCCCAGTGTACCTGAACCTCCTGCACAGCCAAACTGGTTACAATCATGGTACACCTTGCCACACAATCCTGATGCCTTTGATACGCTGCAGCATGCTCATAACGACTGGGATGAAGCGTTGAAGAAGAAAACTCGTCTCAATCAGCATTGGATATCTCATGGAAGGAGGCGCGTCATGTGCTTGTTGCCGAATGCTAGAGGGATTCGTTCAGTTCCCAAAGACGTATCCATGTGGGGATTGAAGGCTGTTCAAAGATTCTTCTTGGTGGATGTGCAAAAGAAAGAGTATGAAAAATTTGCATCTCTCTGGAACTGAGGACGAAGGGGCACACAATTCCCAAACAGAGGGGAAACCAGGCTACTACCTCCAAATCCTAACAGATCAACGGAGGACCGAAACACGGATCACGCAGCGAGAGGCCATGGCAACAAGAACGAGCCGATGGAGAGCAAAAGAAGTTGATTGGGAAATTTTCATTTTTCAACGGGAGAACTTGCCAGACCAGAGAGTTCGACTATGTCCAAGTCGCATGATCCACGGGGACTTGCCATGGTCGGTTGGACAACGAAGTCTCTCTATTATACAGTAGCTGCTGGATGTCCTAGCTAGCTAGGTGTAATCCTAAACCAATATACCCAGTACCCCAATCGCAAGCAAAAGGCGTTCAGCTCCGCTGCAGCATTGCCGTCCACGGGTACTGTCTGCGACATCCGTGCATGAACACTCCCCGTCGGCGCGAAGACATCGCTGTGTCGTCCAAGGACGAAAGCGCAGCTTCGGAGGTCGAGTGGTATTCCACTTTTGTGACTATGAAGTTCCTTCATCATTTGAAAGAAAACTTGGGCGTTGGATTCCAGGGCCAGAGAAATATACGAGACACTGAGGCCAAGACACAGAAGCTGGTTCCGTTGAATTGCCTACAGCCCCATCGAACTGCCAGGGACTCGGCCGTCGATTTCATCGATCGTTCTTAGATCTGGTCTCTTGTATTGAGTCGAGCAGCCACAACGCCAGGGAACGAGAATGATAGCAAGCCCAGGATCAAACTATGAACAGGACAAGATTTACACGATCATAAAGTAGATTGAAGTCAAATGCGGTCTACGCAGGTATTGCAGTGATCAGCAGTTTGGTTGGAACTCGTCTTCCCAAACTAATTGCGGTGGCCAACCCCCCGTCGAGGTGCTTGTCCACGATATAATACGAAATGTTCCGTTCTCGCCCCGCTTCGCTACCGTAATGCGACGACTGTTCCTCCTGAAGGCGTACCGAACCAAATAAGCAGTATGTAACATCCTTGAGATTAGTCATGAGCTCCGATAGCCAACTAGTAGGAGCTCCTAGGCACCCCCTTCGGCAAGTGAACAGGCCATGATAACGATAACCCACACGATTCTCACCGATCGATTTTCGCTCTCTCTGTTCATGGGTGGACGGTCCAGGCGCCATGGATAGGGTCGCAAATTTACATGCGTGTATTGTTTCTTTGCCGGAGGTACAACAGTAGAGAATGAATGTTGTCACGAGACCACGTATGCGTTTGCGAGTTTCGTCCGAGCACGAACCAGAGAATTCGCGCTAAAGCTCCCAATAGCTGTTGTTTGTTGTGTTTGCTGTGTTCGCTTCAGCAACGCTTGCAACCTCTTCTGCAACGGGTCTGTTCGCAAAGCCAGTGGCAAAAAAGGTTGTCTTTTCTTCGTCCTTGGTTGCGTTTGTCGTGTCTGTTGTATTTGTCGTATTTGTTATTACGATCTCTGTGCTTGTACCGTTCGAGAAGAACTCGCAGTAGTTGCCTTCAAAACCATCCGGGCAATTACAAACTTCGACAATGTTTCTGCAGTATCCGCCATTCAAGCAAGTCGAGTTTGAACACAGTTCATGGCCCACAATCAAGTTTGATGATGACTCACAGAAGTCGCCACTGAAGTCATCTGGACAGATGCATGGATCCGTTACCTCTCCGCAGAAACCACCGTTCAAACAGGTTTCGTTGAAGCAGATGAAGAAGTCATCCGCCTCGGTATTGTTGCCAAAAAAAACTTCTTCACAGAAGGTGCCCCGATACGGCTCCGGGCAACCGCATGAAGTGGAATTTTCTTCACACCAGCCTCCATTGATGCATGTTGTGTCGGTGCAGTTGAAACCATCCTCTAGCTCCAGAAGCAGCGTCGAATTGTCTACCAAGAACTCACAGCGGTCTCCTGAAAATGCCGGAAGACAGGAGCACGCCGTGACATTGGTAGTACACCATCCGCCATTGTTGCAGGTGGTACCGTTTCTACAAACAAAGAAGTCGTCGCCCAATAGAGCTGCCTGGGCGCTGTAGTCTATGGTACCATCTTCCTCCACAACTGCCCGTTTGAATTGACACAAGTTCCCATAGTATAGAGCATCGCAGTCGCGGCAGATACCTGCAGGTAATGACGGGAAACGGTTTAGGACCTCGACAGGATAGAAAACAGCCAGAATTGCAAATTACAGGCCATCCATGGTACTCACTAAAGACTTTGTCGCAAGTCCCACCATTCAGACAGTCGTGTTCTTGGCAGGAGTAACTGTATTCACAGCGAAACCCTCCATAGCTCACTGGGCAATCGCAATACGTAGAAGTTGTGTTGCAGGTTCCACCATTCATACAAGGAGAAGTAGTGTCATTGCAGTGAGAGCAAATGAATTGTGCTGTCACTTGAAAAGTATCATCCCCACGATATCCTATCAAGGGAAGCGAGTCATCCCTTACAGCCAATACCCACTGAGTTTGGATAGGGTCAACCGCATGGGTTGCTGTTCCATAATCTACTGGATTACTGAAGAAGAAGGGTCGAAGAGTTGAGAATGTTCTTGTCGTGTTCAGCAAATTTTTCAGTGGTTGATTCTTGACGTCATTGGCCACCATGTTGTCGACAAGAACATTCCAGTCCACATCCGCCTGTTTTTCTTGTGGAGTTCCCATGATGATCCATCTAGTAGGAGAAAGAAAAAGAGGTCGTGTTGCAGTGAGAAAACAGCGGGTGGGTGCGACGCGTACTATCATGCGAACATACCTCCTGCCCGTAAAGACAATGATCGTATCCACTTTGCCAGTCATCTTGTTGAAGCTAGCGTAGATCGGCCGGAAATAGAATTGATCAGCCAAGCCCGCATCGTCTTCGAGCTTGATGAACTCATTTTCCATAAACAGCGAGGCAACTGGAGAGGCTTGAAGCCCACTTTTGGAACGCATGTCTAATCCAAGGAATTTGCAATCTGGCACCTGGAGCTCACAGTTCAATCCGAGAAACCCATCATTGCACTTGCACTGATTCTTCACGCACTGGCCAACCTTGGGGTTACACAAATCTTCATTGCAATCAGCACAAACCACGGCCATCCAATCCATGGGAACATCTCCCACAGCAGCAGTGGAAGCAAACCACGATTCGCTGGCAACATCGACGACATCAAATGTGTTGGTTTCGGAACTTCGAATCATGTAATCGCAAAAGTCCTCACCGACCGCCGTCCGATTGGATACCGTCCATGCCGGAATGGCCTCGCAAAACGCAACCTGTAATGTCCCCGTTGGTTCAATGTAGACAATCCGGCCTGCACGTCGATCCGGGAGATTCTTCCCCACGGAATGAAAGTGTCCACTGTAATAGGGCCACTCGGGACCGTAAGCGTCGCCAAACCTACAAACGGTTTAGCGTCATGGTGAGACACCAACATCGTGCCAACAATCACACACTCACTCCGAGGCAGGACGATCGATCAATCGATCGGTCGATAGCACTACGGTACCATACTTACTGCACATAGAGAGATTCGCACATGAAATATCCCGACCATTTCCAGCTGGTGACCACAAAGTAGCAGATGAACAAGCAAATGCTCAGGAGTACGACCACAGCCTGTCGTACATGACGGGTTCGTTCTCTGTTTTCGGATTTGACAACCAAGTGTCCCATTTTGATACAGTCTGCCTGAATCCGCCTATTGAGCAATCCCATGGCACCCACCTGAAACGCAGCATCATCAAAATCTTGTACAAAGGAAAGAGCCGCAAAATCCAAACACATGTCTATGGGCATTGAAGACAGAGCGGACCGAATTCAATCGACAGGAAGGAAGCAGTAAGTGTGAGATTTCTTGCACCACTCCAGAATAGTTTGTTGGTTGGTACTACTACTAGTACAAATACATACCAATCACAGTTTCGGATTGAATCATGAGAATAAAGGCATCCATGACCATGAATGTGCCCACCAACGTTTGACAGCATCCAGCGAAATACCATTTGACCTTTTTGGCATGTGGCGCATATTTCATGAGATCGGGATCAAATCCATCAACCAGGAGGGTAAGACCTTTGAGGAAATCTCCTTCTGCCACGGCAAAGTTGATGATGAGAATGGTACCAAAGAATTGCGCAATCGTGACTTGTAGCTCGGTATCCGCCGGCTCGTTGAGTCTGTTTTCCACATTGTTGCGGGTGATCGGATTCCCCGACATGTCCACCAAGTCGGCGACTATACAAAAACACAAAACACAAAAACACACAAAAAGGACGTAAGCTACTCTCTTTGTGTACTACGGTATGTGTATGTGTGCGGTACTACACTTACGAGCCAAAGCCAATATCCCCATTTGAATGGAGAAGATGGAAAAGGCAAAGCAGAATCCCCCGGAACAGACCCTCGAGGTAGTCATGAGGGAATAGATATCTTCTCGCAGCGGTTGCTCCACGTTGTGCTTGAGAAGCATCTCATCGTCTTGCGCACTGGTCCCCAAATCCTCCAGTTTGGTTTTCGAAGGGAGCGCTGTATACATCATGTTGTTGCTGTTGCTTGTACCAATATTATTATTATCGTCGTGACCCTTGTCGTCGTATGGCCGAAAGGCAGATGACGACATTACAATCTCATTATCTGCTTTCGAAGGGCGGACGGCTTCTTCGGGTGGTACGGTCACTTCGAGGTCAATCTCGATGTGGCGGTCGTTCGAGGGAGTGAGATCCACCGCCGTGCGACTGCTATTGCAGAAAGGTGTGTTGTTCTCTTCCATGCTGGAACTGGTGCGGCTAGTAGCAGTATTGGCGGTATCGGTCCTCCTCATCGTAATGCTTGATACTTGATACTTGATGATCGATTTGGTTGATGCCAAAAGAAAAAACTATGTGACATAGGAAGGAACTATGGCTGCTTTGAAAGCGGGATCTCTTGTCGCTCGAACGTCCCTACCATATGCCATACCCCCCTACTAAGAGATAAAACCCCTTTGGCTCGACAACATGTTGTGGTACGGTACTGTACCAAGCCGCACCTTAATACCTGTGCACGATCGGTGATGTCTGATGTCGGTGGCAAAGGTGCAGAAGATACCGGTCGCAGCAATGTTTACATAGAGGTAGATGCGGTACACCTGCATGTCAACAAAGAATATATAGAATGTACTGTGGTCTTTATGACTATACAATTACCTCAGCTACCTTTACTATAATTAAGCCCTCTTCCCGGAAAATTCCATCTGCATCTGCTTACCGGTAAGCCATACCGGTAGGGGCACTCTACGGGTACGGGTCTGAGGGGGTGAAAAGTCCGAAAGTTCAAGAGGGAGCAATGCCGCTCAACGATTTTTTCATTGAGAGCAAATTTGAGCCCACACAGACTGCATTTGGCACTTTCTGAACTGAAGTTTGAGATATGAGATACTTTTTAATCAAGCTTGAAAGATAGGATGGCTGTGCCGTATCATAGCCTACTAGCTAGTACAGCGTAGCTGGCTGTGTCAGCAGCAATGACACAGCTAGCTAGGTGCGACCGGTAGAACTCAGGCCTCAACATCAAGTTGCTCTGCTCCTACCAAGCTGGGTGCTTTGCCATCACCCACAGAAGCAGTGATGGGATCTTCGGCATCTCCGCTACTACTGCAGTCAGCCTCATGATCCAACTCATCGTTGCTGTTTCCAGTGACGGCGTTTTCAGCATCTTCTCCGCTACTACTGCAGTCAGCCTCCAAAATATCGTTGCTGCTCCCAGTGCTTTGCACAACGTACCGTACCGTCGATTGACCTCATCAGTCTTGCTCCAGTAGTACCGTACGGTACATACAGTATAATGGACCTGCCCCGGGGGTGAAAAGCCCAAGAGAGCACAATGCTCTTTGTTGGAAGTGCCACTCAACGTTGGCTCTTTTTCATTGCGAGCAAATTCATTTGAGCACACACAGTCTGGCTGCATGCTCGGTCCAGTGTTTAGACCCCAGTATGTAGTCCTGGATTGGTGAATTATTAGTTAGCAGTTTTCCATAGAGAGGATCCTCGATACCTTTGGAAGAAAACGACAGCTATACAAACACTCTACGGAAACCCGCGAAAGGCCAGGCTTAGGCCGTGGGATCAGGGACAACCAAATTGAGGACCAACACGGGGACCAAAGTGACAGAAGCAGCTTAATTAATATGCGGAGGAGCATTACTAGCTTTGGGAGGTACAGATGTATGCATACACTGACTTGGGGCTTTTTTTGGCTGATTCCTTGGATTGGACTTTCTCTGCTTACTGCTTACCTGACCCCAAGACAGTGCTAAGTATAAAGTAAAGTGAAAGTGTCGGGGTTGCGTTTTGCCAAAGGGTCAACCAATCCTCAGAAGAGGCGTTTGCCTTTGTGCAGTCAACCAACTTTGTCCAGGAACGGCAAGGCTACCGTATGCATACCATGCATACAACCCATGACGAAACCAAACAATCACGACCCGAGGATCCACAAGACTACAAACACCCCAACAAAAACTGAGAGCGAAATGCACAATCGCAGGGGATCTTTCATGCAGCAATCACGTAAGAGTTCCTGATGGCTCATTGCAACCGGTCGCTCTGGAATCAAATCGTTGGACGGGTGTTGGGGTGCCCTGCCGTTGTGGTATGGCACTTGCGACAGCATTTCTTCTGCGATCTCTGAGCTGTAATGCGCATGCTGGCAGGCGGAACATGCAAAGCCACCGCCAACATTATGTTGTATGCTCTCAATGCGAGCAGTGCCACTACCTCGCGCGGACAAGAAAGCCCCCAATTCATTGAATTTATCACCAGCAGCCGCCGCGGCAGCGGCCGGCAACCCGCTGCTACAGCAGCGTTGCTGTACTGGTTGGATTCACCTTCCGGGGCTTTGTCTGCAATGGCCACAACCGTCAAAGTACCTTGTGCCTTCGTCAGCATTCCAGCTGCTTCCATTGAGGACTTGCCAGCAACAGGCTCGCCGTTGATACTGTAAAGCACCATTCCTACGCCCAGAGCTGAGGCAGCAGCCAAGCCTCCTTCTTTGATCATAGTGACAACCAGCTTGTCCTCAACCTCAGACAAAGTCATACCCAACTGCATACCTGGAACCTTTGTCAACAAGGCTGTAATGTATTCCTTACTTTCTTCTCGAATGCTCTTGATCATCATTGCTCTAACCTTTGTCAACAAGGCTGAAATGTATTCGTTACTTTCTTCTCGAATGTTGTTGATCATCAGTGCTCTACCATCTCCATCTTCCAAGCGTAGGCCAACCTTTGTAGTGGGTGCTTTCTTCGAGCCTTCAACATTGGCAGTACGACGTGTCGACAGGGCACCCTCCAAGAAGTCACGAAGCTCTTCATTTCCTACTTTGCCTTCTTGTTGGAGTAGCAAAGTTTCTTGAATGAGAACTTCAAAAAGTGTGGTGTTGTCATGAAGTTGTTGCACTGCCATTGGATTCCGAGTGATGGGAGACACACCGTGCTCATGGATCCACTCAACGATGGCACTGCGTTCGTACGTGTTTCCTTCGTGGTCAATGACGGGATCCCGTAGAAGCTCTTGGGTGATGGGACAAGTGAAGAAATCAAGAAGATCTTTGGTACAAGAACCATCTTCCTGATCTTCCTGTGGCTGCTGCACGGCTTGCAGATAGCTCTTGAGCGCTCTATTGGGGTAGTAGATAGAGGTCTTTGTCATCTTCGCCGACAATGGCACTAAGCTCGTAGGATACTCCATTTGTTGGGTTCGCAACCGGGTCCACAAGCGGCTGTTCGGTCAGAGGACAGAGCGGAGGATGCCTTTGGGCGGTGATGCCTGCAGCATCAAGCTCGTCACAGTCCACGACACCAACCGAACCTAAAGTGCTTGCTGTCTCTTCAGGGTAACACCATGGGGGCTGGGGGATCCTAGTGGAAGTGTCTTGCGCTGTCGCGCGAGTGGTAACCTCTTGCTTCTTGCACGGTGCGCCCATGGTTACCTTTACCTCTCAAAGAATAGGTCCGACGGTGCAGTTGTAACGCTTCTGGCTGATCAAGATAGGTTCAGATCGTACACGTATCTTGGGGTGGTGATATGGAAAGCTGCTTGTCAGCAACGCAATGTTAGGATGTGGATCGTTGGGAGAAGGGATGGTTCCGTGCCATCACGATCATTTTTCCTGCCAGGAACACGTCTGGGCTTCCAGGAACAGCAAAATACAGATGCTGTGGCGGGCGCTGATGGGCTCTACTAGTATCTTTTTAAAATCTGAGGTCTGCGATGCTGCGATGCATTGTCCAAAAGAACCGAATGATTCGATTCGATTCCGATTCATTCATTCATCAGTGGATCAACCTCCTCATTGATCACCCGGCGTCCTTGAGTATGGTGTCAACCAATCGTGGAAGGTGGTGTCACCAGTCATCGATACCTTTAAATCTTTCAATCGTGTTTATCGCGCGGGTCATTCCTCCTTTCCGCAATTTCCGCCTCCGCAGCGGCCTCCGCAGCTCCACAGCAGCCTCCTCCGCACACGGCAACACCGAGCAAACACCATCAAACAGCACAGCATCAAGACATCAAGGCAAACAAACAACAGACCAAAGCACGACTGAGAGGCCGCAGGAAAGGGTCTAGTTCGGGGGTTTGGTGCTAATATGAGCATGAAATCAGTGGCGATCATCCTAAGTGGGTAGCTCTCTTTTCATCAACTGTTGTTTTTCATCTGGCAGAATCTGTCACCCCAAACATCTGGCAGAATCTGTCATCCCAATTTGGATGTCACCATGATGAGCTCACTTTTTTGTTCAACAGGATTGCTAGAGTTGCATAACCAACCGAACAAGGAAGACTTTCGCGATTGTTGATAAGCCAAGGCCAGATCAAACCCCCAGACCTTATTCAAGTCTACTTTTACCTTTTCTATCGATCTTCTATTCAATACCTATAAATTGCAAAATGAAGTTCTCTTCTTCAATCATCAAGCTGCTCTCGTGTCCATGAACACCCACAACAAAACAACAGCAGCAACACCAAGAAGACACCCGTTCTCCAGGTCGCCAAGGAGATTATGGGCAACAACAACAAGGATGTTCCTGTGACAGAGGAAGTCCCTACGTTCCAACTGGATGAGTTGGACAAGACACTCGTCGAAACCGCGGCACTGTTGCACGCGTATGGAACGAGTCCTGATGTGGAGTTCCAGCAGCACGGTCGCTACATAGGTGCCTACGACCTTTACCTGGTTCCTTCGGATCAGCATGGTCACTACGGATACAACAAATACAACCAGCACCAGCCCAAGGGCTGTCGCATCAAACCCAGTCAATCAGCCAACCCTCGCTGGAAGACCCATTACGTTCAAGACACCGAACGGAGCAATGGAACCCGTTTATCCTTTGCTCCCGTCAACAATGTAGTGGGGTACTGCTTCGGACAGGAAGCGAGCAAATAGGAAAACAGCCGTATCTATCGAGACATGAAGAAAAATGTGCCACAGGCAACAATTGAATTCTGGCAGGAAGCCCAACAACAATTCAATTCCGTCGGCACTCCCACACCCCACGAACGCGGCTTGGATCTCGTGCAGTTGATTAAAGAGTACGGATACCAACAAGTGGCCAAATGGCTCACCAACAACCTATGGTTCCAAAGCGACAAAGCTTACCTACAAAAAGCCAAACTGTACATTCAAATTGATGCCTTTCATCAAGACCTCGAGGGAATTGTTCGTTTCATCCAGGTGAAGAAAGGAAACGACAAGCAAGTATCGCACTGGTTCATGGTCAACAAAAAGAACCCTTACATGTTCGAACTCGCCATGTGCCACTTGCACCACGGAGGAATTCAGCGCAATGCTGACGAAATTTGCACCTTGAAAACGCGAGAACAGATTGCCAAAAGACGATTTGTCTATCGCAAGGTAAAGGATGTCTGCATGGAAGGAATGCAGCCACCCGTAGTAAAGTAGAAGAACACAAACCAAACAACAACAACAAGACGTTGAGGCAATAGAAAAAGTCTCAACCGTCGACGACGACAACAAGATTGCATCCGATGCCACAATCACATGCGAGGCAGTGGTGGTTCCCGCGTGCACAGCAGTGGTCCCATATGTTCAAAAGTGGCATGTGAAACACTTCGAGATCAGTGTGCATGGACTACAACCATTTGTATTGGAGATGCAAATGATGAATGGTGTGCTACTTGGATTGGTACCCAACGACATTCTCGCATCCTTGATGAAGGATGG